GAAGAAGAAGAAGAAGAAGGAGAAGAAGAAGGAGAAGAATTTTGTTTAAATTAATTAACACTGCATCTTTTCCCCACTTCTTTTTCTGCGGTATTTCTTATAATTATTTCACCTTGACCTTCCACTCTCTTCCCGCCAGGCACACACATGAAGGGGCTAGCAGTTCTCGCCAAACTCTCTCGCGGCCGCTGGTTCACGGCCAGGCTCATCTATCATCTGATCGGGACCTGCCTCGCCATCGCTCTCCTCGTCTGCTTCCTCTTGAGCTTCATCCCCACCCGGAACTTCCTGCTGGGCGGTGTCTTCCCCGGAACATGGATGCCCATCCCTACGTCGCGCCTCCTGCGCTTCCACATGGCGCCCCATGAGTACGACGTGGGAAACTGTCCAGAGACGTGCACGAGGAAGTACAGGCCCAAGACCCGGCTCGAAGACCTGAAGGGTCGGAAAGTGGCGCATTATGATCATTTGCACTTTAGTGAGTTTGTTGTCCTTTTGTAATAATAATTATAATAGATAGCATTTGTATAGCGCATATCCCCGCTCAACAGCAGGCTCTAAGCGCTTTACACTAATCATATACCATACCATCGCGTGAAAGTGGCGCATTATGATCATTTGTACTTCAGAGAGTTAGTTGTCTTAAGGTTATCATATCATCGTGTGCAGCATTATGGTCAGTTGTACTGCAGTGAGCTGGTTGTCCTAAAGTAATCATATACCATACTATCGCGTGAAAGTGGCGCATTATGATCATTTGTACTTCAGTGAGTTGTCCTAGGTTATAAATCATATTATCGTGTGTAGCATTATGAGCAGTTGCACTTCCGTGAGCTGTCTTAAGCTTATCATACCATCATGTATAGCATTATGATCAGTTGTACTGCAGTGAGCTGGTTGTCCTAAAGTAATCATATACCATACTATCGCGTGAAAGTGGCGCATTATGATCATTTGTACTTCAGTGAGTTGTCCTAGGTTATAAATCATATTATCGTGTGTAGCATTATGAGCAGTTGCACTTCCGTGAGCTGTCTTAAGCTTATCATACCATCATGTATAGCATTATGATCAGTTGTACTGCAGTGAGCTGGTTGTCCTAAAGTAATCATATACCATACCATCGCGTGAAAGTGGCACATTATGATCATTTGTACTTTGTCCTAAGGTTCTCATACCATCGCGTGAGAGTAGTGAATTATGATCAGTTGTAGTTCAGTGAGTTGTACTAAGCTTATAACTCATACCATCACGTGTAGCAGTATGACCACTGTTGTATTTCAGTTAGTTGTCCTAAAGCAATCATATACCATCGCGTGAAAGTGGTACATTATGATAATTTGTACTGCGGTGAGTTAGTTGTACTAAAGTCATCATACTGTGACGTGAAAGTGGCGCATTATGATCAGTTGTACTTCAGTGAGTTAGTTGTCCTAATATGGGGTGCCCACTACGGATGGGATCGGCCGATCGGCTCGGTCGCCTATAAAACAAACGTGTTTGTTTTCAGATCGGCCCGATCCAGCCGTAGTGGGTACCCCGTATAAGGTTAACATAGCATCGCGCGTAGCATTATGATCAGTTGTTCTTCAGTGAGGTGTCCTAAAGTTATCATACTATTGCTTGTAGCATTATGATCAGTTGTTCTTCAGTGAGTTGTCCTAAAGTTCTCATACTGTCGTGTATAGCATTATGATCACATCTGAGTGCCGTAAAACGTTGACTAATACTACTATTAACTACTATTAAAACGGAGCCTTTTTCAGTGCCCCTCCGAAGTTGGTTGTTTTTTTGTTGTTTGTTTTTTTTTT